GTCGTCATTTCATTTCTAGATCACTCTTCCATCATGTATACAAGAAAGTCCATAACTCCCTTTAGAAAAACGCGTCGCAGGTTTCGAAGGTATATTTGAGAACAGCGTTTTAGGTTCTATCCTATGGGGTGCAGTCTTGCGAATCGCAACTTCGACCCAACGAACTTTCCTTGTCAAGATCATGTAGCAAGCAGGATTACGAATGCGGGAACTGAGCCTCTATGCGTAAATGTCCCTTACTCGAAGTTCTTCCATCTCGTTCCCCCTCAGCCTCTTCCCGCTCCCCTCCCTCCACACATACGCGCAATTAGCATGCATATGGGCCTAGAACACGGGCTTACCTTTTGAACGCGGTAGGGCTAGCGCAACGCAGCTTCACCAAATCTTTAGTGTACACCGGAAGCGGACGCAGCTCATATGAGTATGCGTCCGCGCCAAAATATGAGCTTTCAGAAAATAAGGATAGTAGTTGGAAATATTTTCTGGCAAGAACGGACATAAAAAGATTGCATAAACCGTGGATCTGTTACCCAAAAATTTAGAGATTCGTTCTTGAGATATTATTCGCATGATTGCTATGAAAAGGAATTAGGTTTGATTTGGCTTTTTACTAGCAAGTTTGCCGCCAGGATTACCGCTTCCACATGGCACCTACTTTCAAAGAAATAATTTTAGTCTCATTAATGATGGTTTCGGGATTAACCGGTCTGCGCCGAAGGAGAGCATGGAAGGATGGATAGTAGAGCCAGTGTGAGCATCTGCGAAGCAGAGTGATGCACAGGTAATAAAGTAGTATGAACTCTCAGTTGGTTACTGCACAAAGTATTAGGTTGATGCATAATCCCTGCACCAAAATAGGTACAGACCGCATAACTCGGAATAATCCTATATCCCAAGTAGGATTCGATATATCATTTGATAGCGCAAACCTAGCTTTACAAGATATTGTTCAAATATCTACACCAGCTTTGATCCACGCGAAGTTTTGAGCCAAAAACTGAAAAAAAACCATGCGTCCGAGAACCTTGAGACAGATCTTAAAAAAATTGCAACTTCGTTCAAAAAGCTCATACAAATTTTCTTTCTTGCTCACGCGTAGACGTTCCACGTAAGACATTTATCTATGCTGTTGCTGTATTTTTTTCTCAACTAGACGATGAAAAAACGAAATTTTTTGAAGTTTTTCATGTTTTTGCCAAATTAGTGCTGAGATGTTCTAGTATTAACAGTTGTATAGTACATGCCGTTAGCAGTGAAACTTTACATTTTCAGCCTTCTAGAACTGCTAGTTCGCGAGAAATAACGAATCTAGCTCTCCTTATCCAAATTTTTCTTGCCTAGTTGCTAAAAATCCGATATTTCTCGTAAACCAGCTGCTCTAAAGAGCTGAAAATTCACACACGCTTCTAAGGTCCTATAGCATACAACTGTCAGTGCTAGAACATCTCAGCATTGTTTTGAAAAAAACATGAAAAACTTCGTTTTCTCATCGTCTAGTTGAGAAAAAAATACAGCAACCGCATAGATAAATGTCTTACGTGGAAAGTCTACGCGTGAGCAAGAAAGAAAATTTGTATGAGCTTTTTGAACGAAGTTGCAATTTTCTTAAGATCTGTCTTAAGGTTCTCGGACGCATGGTTTTTTTCAGTTTTTGGCTCAAAACTTCGCGTGGATCAAAGCTGGTGTAGATATTTGAGCAATATCTTGTAGAGCTAGGTTTGCGCTATCAAATGAGATATCGAATCATACTTGGGATATAGGATTATTCCGAGTTATTGCGGTCTGTACCTATTTTGGTGCAGGAATTATGCATCAACCTAATAATTCAGCAGAGCAAATAAGGACATTGAGCTAAAGATCCCGTGGAGTACGCTCGTCGAGTGGTCGCTGCAAAATTACAACAGGATTGCCTTGTGGCGAAATTAGCAGGCTGGTCCCGATGCGATACAATTGTTTGTTCACAAATTACTGATCGCAGTATGGCTATTTCAACACGCTGACCTTGGAGGGACACAATTGTAATGGTATGAAGAAGAAAACAGTAATAAAAGTAGATTAATTCAGTACTAAAAACATTGAGTTCAAATACAGGGCAGACATTATGGAGCAAAAGCACTTAATCATCCTCTGAGGTCGGCCATTCTGCGCAGTGACGCAGATCACAGATTGATCTAGAAGGTGATGTAGGAGATCTATATAAAGTACATGAGGAAATGGGGCTATAGATCTTGCAGAATTTGTTTTGTATCGGTATCCAGGGCCAAGCTCAGTCACTTTTATATGTTTTTCTGCAGATTCATTAAGCACGGGAATAGGGAACAGAGAAACAGAAGCACTTTCCCAGCAGACACACAAACTTTAACATGTAGATAGTGCCACTAGGCCTCCATGGTTCTGTCGTCTTATGTAAGAGATCGAAGAGCTTGCTTGCTTGTGTTTGTCTAGCAAATCAAAGGGGATACCTTCACATGCTTGTCAGTAAATCAGTTCTGGGTGTCAATGACATAGCCGATCCTAGCACATTCCCGTTGCTCATTTATTGTGTGAATGCTAGCTACAACTCTTTTGTTGATGCTGAAGACTCAATAGTGAAATGATGTCATAGGCTACTCTACGTTACCGATAGTACAAATTTTATTGATTTTTCAAACTTTGAGCTACGGGCTGAGGGTTGGCACGGGGGGGGGGTGGTAAGTGAGCTGTTGGTACGAATAATATAAGCGCTCTTAGAAATACCCATCGCTTTTCTTCTTTTCATCGATTTTGTACAAGCTTTGAACTACGGGGCTGGGAGTTGTCACAGGGGGAAGTAACATGTCAATTACGAATAAGATATTGACTTTCGAGAATTGTCAGTTACCCTTATCGATTTTATGGACTTTTTGCAAACCTTGAGTTAGGGGCTGGGAGTTGGCACAGGAGATAAGTCAATATGGTGGTAACGAAAGTAGCATCAGTCTGGAAAAATACTCATTGCATTTATTAATTATGTCATTTTTCTTTGAAGTTTGGCCTGAAGAGTTGGAAGTTGATGCAGAGGGGTAAGCGAGCATGCTCAATACGAAAACAGTAAGTGTAGGGAATTGAGATATAGCTGGGACAGGGACAACGTAATGTTGTAGAAATAGGAATGGTGACTTTTAATAATGTACTGACAGGAGCCAGGTATACCAGCTAACACACTCTGACAGGCGCTATTCCGCCTTAGGGAGCGGGGGCGGGGGGTGGGGGGGGGGGGGGGGGAGGCTTTATGAAGCAAAGCCACGCCGCGTCCCCATGTGGAATATCCTGAGGAGCACTTGAGTTTCGTCGACTTTAAGTGCAGCCACAGGAGTAACGCTGCTGCCTCTGGACTGAGCCATTTCCTATTGCTACGCCCTTAGAAATGTTCAAACTGTATAAATGCAATAAAGAAATCAAAAACAAAAAATATACTTGAAAGCTAGGGATGAATCAAAGGCTGAATCTAAGTTGGAAGGTTTTCAAGAAAAGTGGAACACAAAAATAGAAGAGAAAAGAGACAGAAATTCTTCATCAATAATTTTTGCAAAAGAAATCTCATCTCTTCTTCTTTTAATTTCTTTTGGGTTTTCTTTTTTTTACATCTTTGATCAATTGCTAAAATCCGCTTTTCTTCCGCATTTTGATCTCGTTTTCTATGGAGAATGGCTAAATTCACTGGGTAACGCTAGTCCCACTACTGCTGCAATCAAGAGCGACGCAACGCAAAGAGACCTCAGGATATAATGCAGGGGAATGCGGCGTAGCTTTGCTCCATAACGCTACTCCGCTTGTTTCAAGCTACCGCAAAGTCTTGAAATCACCACAACTTTCAGTTTGCCAAGTTGTAGGTTCATTAATGATTACCTGTCGAGTAGATGGAACCAGTGCTCGGCACGAGCTGGTACCTGGGAATTTTCAAAACGGAGTCCCCCTTGAATTTTGCTAATTTTTACGAAGTCTCCTTTGACCCGGACCAAAATCCCTAAACTCCCAATAAAACGAAACGTCGACTGGAAAAAATGTCGCTATTTGTCGACAAAAACGATGTCCCCTTTGCTTTTCGTCCCAAAAATGATATCCAGCTTGCCCCGTGCCACCTGGTGCCAGGCCCTGGGTGGAACACAATCTGCTTGATTCGTCCGATCAAGACTCAATGGAAAACTGCGATATGAAACCTGCTTGTTATTCACTTTGAGAACTCATCAACTCTCTGGGTTCTTTGATGAACATGACCGCTGTCCGTAACCCTAAAGCGGAGCCATGGTATAGGTCATTTTTGAAATCTTGACGACGGATTAGGCTGCGCTCTTTGCGCCCACAGGAGCATAAAACACCATACAGAAAGACATCACCTCAACGCTCAACTCAGTCACTTCCAGTTACTATCATAAGTAAGCTGAAAACCATTCAAAAAGGGAAGAAAACCAAGAAAATGGGGTAGCCAGAAGTGCGTGTCGCGCGTCGCCCCACCGTCGCTATTTTTCGAATGCCGCATACGTGAGCGTAGAATGGAAATAGATGATTCCTCCCACTAGTTATAAGTTACACGGAATTCTTTCGACATTTTTTGGAAACTTTGGAACAAAGAGATTGTCCAGTTGGCTGTGCCTGTATTATTACAGTTTCATTTGTCTTGAAAATCGTAAGCGGTAAGAAGGAGCAAAATTTCACACTCATATGAATATCTAAAATTTATTAGAAATCGCAGTATAAATATCTAGAGATTCTGAAAAATCAAAGTTGAACGAGGTGCGATCCGGAGAGTTGGGAGATTGTCTAGTTTGGCTGTGCTGTATTATTACAGTTTCATTTGTCTTGAAGATCATAAGCGGTAAGAAGGAGCAAAATTTCACACTCATATGAATACCTAAAATTTATTAGAAATCGCAGTATAAATATCTAGAGATTCTAAAAAAAAACAAAGTTGAACGAGGATCCGGAGAGTGGCTACGACTCGTATGTATTTGCATCCTGAATCGTCTTCCATCCCATTCTGTTCAGCGTATCCTTGAGATATCCCAAGCATCAAGGTGAGACTCTCCCATATCCTTCTTCTGGAAACCTCATTTATTTTGCTTAAAACTACTTGATTTGGTCGAACCTTGCAAGAATTCAGTGCATTTTCCAAAGTGTACTCAATAATTGAGAAATCACAGTATCCGCAAGACTTCCGACATGCTCTGAATGCAATTTGCGGGAACCTGCCATCACAAGTCCACTCTCGATTTGGTTCATAAGCATCAGTAGAATTCACATATCTGAAAATGTGTATGGCTCAAGGTGTTACATCTCTTTATTAGGAGGTAAAAAACATAACTTGAACAAAATTTCTCGCCATAGCGATCAGAACATTGCTCTGACACTAGCGCTCTTGCAATAGCATCATAATCAAGCGCTTCTTTGTCCTGGTTGCAAGTTGTGCAGCATTGAATTAGTCTGAAAACGACAATGGCTGCATAGAATCTAGAAGAAAAAACAGAAAATTTGATCCTGTAAAAAAAGTCTGTAGGAAAATTTAGTTAGCATTCTACTTTCTGATCGAACATACCACTGAGTACGTGCTAACCTTCGAAAGTTGAAGAGGCTGGCCGCTAATTAGTGCTTTGGTCCCACCTCCCCAAACTGCGATACAATACCGCTCGTAATCAGTGGGAAAAAGACGCACAGTCGCCCGACTCATGTGACATCACCGCAGCGTGGCCATTTCTCGCTTCAAAGCGGACAATTTCTCAATCCAAGGGGACCGTTCCATTCAGCTCGGCGAGGCGCATCTCCTAATATATGAAGTGCCCATTTGGACACGTTAGAAGGTCAGATTCCACGAATCGTTTCTAATTTTTGCTTACGGTATGTCGCCCAGTGAGTGAAATGAATAAGCACACTGAGTAACCTTCCGTAAGCAAAAAATCTAAAACGACTAGTGGAATCTGACCTCCTATTGGGTCCAAGTGGGCGCTTCTATTCTAAAAATGAGCCGTGCTGACCTGAGTTGAATGGTTTCTGTAGATTAAGAATTCGTTCCTTTGAAGCGAGATATGGCCACGCTACGGTGATGTCACATGAATCGGGTGAGTGCGCGTCTTTTCTTCACAAACTACGAGCGGTATTGCATGATGCGAAGTTTGATTAGTACAGCGACCGGGATCAAACTTTGACCCCACTTCTCATCAGTTCATACCACTATGCCTCTGTACAAACTTTGCGAATAAAAGCGTTTTTGAATCCTTTACAGTACTTGTTTAGAGTTCATTTTTCTACCAATTGGAAAACAGCACGCAGTTATGCTGGTTATTTATGCATTAATGATAAGCATATTTGACGGCAAGTAATGGGACTTCAAATATTGTTTTTGCTGAACCACGATTCGGAATTCGGGGTTCACAAAAACATTACTTCAATAACTAGTTCTTAGTGGACAATGCTCAGCTTGGTTGAATCCGCTAAGCACATATCTGATGTCATCAAATTTATTTGAATAAATGACTCAGAAAAAAAGAAGGGTAGCTAAGGAATACCGTAATATGCACTGAATCTTGTGCGGCAGTCATATTTCTTAACTCGATGTGTAATACTGAAGGTTATTTCAAAACAGATATCGGTGCAAAATCAGGATTCTGCTTCATCAAAAGTTATAATATTTTGAGCTGTGTATCCCGCATCAGGATTTCTTGAAAATTATATTAGGTTGATGCAAAAGTTCTTTCCCTCCATTTTCAAAAATTCATAACTTCTGATTTTTTCAACCAATTTGGCTGCATCTATTTTTGTATGAAAGAGTAACTTATGCTCTTCATAATGACATCTTAGCTGCTTGCTAATGATCATTTGTTGCATAGATAGGAGCGATAGAAGAAAATTAGTCAAAATTCGAATTTTTTGTGTAGGGTCATAAAAATCGGAAACTTGCAAGAAAAATCGGAGCAGTCAGTATTGTAGGTTCATTTACCAGCTCTTTCTAATGGTGCAAAGTTTGCGCCGATTGAGCGTCTCTATCAAAAGTTATAATTTTCGAGCAAGCAATACATAAGGGCGAATTTGATTTATTTTGGCATTTTTCAGGGAAATCATAACTTTTGATAGAGACGCTCAATCGACGCAAACTTTGCACCATTAGAAAGAGCTGGTAAAAGAACCTACAATACTGACTGCTCCGATTTTTCTTGCAAGTTTCCGATTTTTTATGACCCTACACAGAAAATTCGAATTTTGACTAATTTTTTTCTATCGCTCCTATCTATGCGACAAATGATCATTAGCAAGCAGCTAAGATGTCCTTATGAAGAGCATAAGTTACTCTTTCATACAAAAATAGATGCAGCCAAATTGGTTGAAAAAATCAGAAGTTATGAATTTTTGAAAATGGGGGGAAAGAACTTTTGCATCAACCTAATATATAGAGGAGCATTCTTGAGGGCAAAACCTTACAATTTTCGTGCATATTTTTGGGTTGAATGCAATCATTGATTGAGTATGGAAAGCAAAAAAAGTGAAATGAAATTCTGAGATTTAGTTTTTATATTTAAAAGCATAAAACTCTAGTATGAGCAAAGGAAAGCGAGGAATATGCAAGAAAGAAACGCCCTAGAGATGTAATAGAAAATTTGCAAGAAACATGCTCGACTTTGGAAGCCAGTGCTTGAAAGTAGAGGTAAGAAAAACTTGCACTATTTTGACCGAATACTTAGTTGCAGTTTTGAATATACTGGGTGTCCCAAAAAATGTACTCACTGTTTGATTGTAAATAACTCCCTAGTAATGAAGTGTTTCGGGAAGCTTTAGGTACCATTTTATAGAGCTGGCTTCAATTTAGACCTACAGTATAGAGCGAATCGCCGACTGCTCTTCATTATTGTAGGATTACGGTAGAAACTTCAAGCATATGGTGTCACTGCGAAAATCACTGTGATAAAAGCTGCGGTTTCAAAAATTTTCAAATAAATGTAAAAAATTGTTAATTGGGTTTCCATGAACGCTGAGTTCAATACTCAATTATGTACAAGATTGCGAAGCTTTCTAAACGGTATAATTGCAATTTGTCGGGAGCAAAAAAGTTGGAAGAGAGTTGGAAGAGAAGAGCTGGAAGAGAGTTGGAAAAACGGCAGGTACTGCTTACCTTGCATAACTTTTTATTGAAGCATTATGATAAGCTGCGAAATTCACATTCAGAATCAGCAACTCTAATTAGCCCAATGTGAAACTTTTTAGGTTGTTTTGTTTTCTTTCTGAGGCAAAATATGGCCTTTCATGGCTCAAAACCCTCTTCAAACTTCCTACCGTAATCCTACAGTAATAGAGCAATCGATGATTCGCTCTATACTGTAAATCTAAGTTGAACCTTTCTCTACAAAATGGTACCTGAAGCTTCCCGAAAGAATTCATTACAAGAGATTTATTTACAATCAAACAGTGAGGACATTTTTTGAGACACCCTGTAAACCCATTGTGATCAAATTAGCACCAAAGGATAAATGCACCTGAATTCAGCATCTGAGTTGCACCTTCGTGAGAACATTCGTTGGTAAGTCTTCTGCAGCCGCAGACATGTCCTGGTCCCGATATGATCACGACAACATGGTGGATCCAAAGCGGATGGTAAGGCTATAATCAATTGTTGTTCGAAAACAAATGTGCGGATATGAGAAAAATATCATTTTGCTCAGCAAAGCATCTCAGATATTGTATTTTGACACACTGGCGACAAGGCGCATATTTGCTTATCTGCTGGGACAATGCCTTCCACGAAAAAGTCAAAAATTTCTAGCTGAGATCACGCAGATGGTGATCTACAGTACACCTACAGCAATTCTAAGGCGCAGCCAAGAAACGCACAAGCTCTCGGAGCAAGACGCTGAAACATTATAACAACAAAATTTCAGCATATTTTCAAGCCGGTTTTTCTCCAGAAAAAACAGGGCCGCAGAAGTTTTTTGAAGTGGTCTACATGAGCTACCCACTATGTGGATCATTGTCGCACGTGGCAGTCACTGCATGATTCACTGTGTGGGTCACGTTGCAGTCAATTTGTTAAGGTACTGGCTTGCAGGTTTCTCTTATCCCAAATTAAGAACACGATGGAAGCAAGGGCAAATGTTGCTTGTTCAGGTAGTCAAAATAATCCATACGGACAGATTCGAAAATTTCCATTTCAAAGGTCCGGAGCAATAATCTTATGGCTTTTCTGCAGGACGAAACAGAGCTGGGAAGTCCCTTAAAAGTGATATTCGACGAAAGTATGAAATATAAGTTTTGCAAGCATATCGAACCCTGTCAGAGACAACATAACACAGAAAAAACCATGAAAATTTCAAAACAGCTTGTTAACAAATTTGAGCGGTCTCTAAAAGATCTCGGTGTAAATCGACGTAGGTCGAGGATTTTACCAAAGCAGCGCTAGCTTGAGCAGCAATATACAGGGTGTCATAAAAGTAAGTACACACTTTTCAATCGTCAATATCTCTCTTCCCAATGGGTCTTTTTTTGCCAGTCAAGTACCATTCTGTGGAGGAGTCTTCAACTTAAATTTACAGTATCGATCTAATCATCGATCGCTTTTCATTCTGTGGGATTACGTCAACAACTTCCAGCATGTGGAACCATTGTGAAATATGCCATCTGACAAAATTTTTTTCAAAAAATCTGAAAAATCGTGTACTAGAGTTTTCGCGCACGCTGATTCCACTACACAACTTTTTACGGGTGTTTTCAGGTTTTTTGACGGTGTAATCACATTTCTGACAAATACTGGGAATTCAATTATTTTGGTTTACCTGGGATAACTTTGGAATGAAGCATCAAAGTAAAGTGGAAATTTCATATGCGAAGTCAGCGGCTTCCGTTACCATAGTATAAGAGTTTTTGGCTTAGTTGTTTTTGTTCCGAGGCAAAATATGGCTTCCAATGGCCTAAAATCCTTTTCGAATTTTCTACAGTTTTTCTAATTTTCTCCAATCCTACAGTAATGAAGAGCGATCGGTGATTTGCTCCATACTGTAAATTAAGTTGAGGTCTCCTCTACAGAATGGTACTTGAATGGTGGAAAAAGACACAATGAGAAGAGAGGTATCAACGATTGAAAAGTGTGTACTTACTTTTGGGACACCCTGCATATATCTGATATACATTCAGAATGTAGGTGGAGATTTATGTTTGAGAATATAGTCTCTGGAACATCTTATGTAATTTGAAAGGGCTAAAAGCCCTTTGTTTTACCGATTAAGCTTGCATCCATTATGCCGAGCAAATATGATTTGCAACTTCTTCCGCACTTTTTCTCTTTTTGACTGTGATGTGACGCATTTAAAGTCTGACATTGCTTAGTTTATGATGGAAAATGTGACCGTTACTCCTACAAATTTCTCTTTAAATATAAATGTTACTGACGGCAAGGTAAAGAAAAATCATTCCAGACTCAGCTAGAACTGTTGTGGATCCAGCTAAAACTTGGATTAGGAGGTTTATTTATCACATTGGACGCGGAAGTGACACCAATTTTGCATGTAGAGCTTTTCAGGTAAAGCTCTCATAGATTTTTGGTCTTGACAGCAAATGATGATATTTTTACTCAGGGATATAGAGTTACCAATGAGAGTTTCGCAGAATTCTGAGACCCCCTTGTGAGCATCACGTCACTCTTATTTACTTCAGTAAGTTAATTTCTAGTAATTGTATACCAGAGGTTTTGGCTATTATCTTTAATTCGGGTTGCGAACAACTTTATCCTTGCTTTTAATCCAGTAAATCATCCCCAGCAAGTTCCAAGCCTAATTGTTCCTATTTTGTTATCAAACATCAGACGCCTTACGAATATATGTAGCTCACGTCATTATAATGCAAGATCAGAATGAAACTTCATGATTTTCTATATGGTTACTTTCTTTTCTAATGCCGAAAATTATCTGCTGCGCAATCTCAATTGAAAAGCTATGTTTTCTATCAGCTACTGACGCATTCTCAGCAACAACGTTTCTTGACCGGATATTATTAGGGTAATCCAAAAGTAATGGGGCATCAAGAGAATTAGGGCAGGTTTCTCGAACAGAGAACAGAGAAACTGCTTGGATGCTCGGTTTTGGCTGTTATCAATACATATCAAAACCTTCGGATCAAGATCTTTAGAATAGCATAGTGGCATGACGTTATTTTCGTCACTTTCAGTAATTTCCGAGTTCAAGGTTACTGTTGCCAAATCTGGAATCCTGGTGGTCTCAGTGCTTCTTTGCAGAAGATAGAGCATTGGGCATGTTAGGTTGGCTAATAAATAAGTTCGGTTGCTTTTGAGCTTTTACAAATGCTGCAGATAAATTTTTTTCTAGTCTTTAGATTTCTGGAAAAAGAACTTCGATGGGAATTGGAGTATTTGTTTGAGTAGAACCTATCTTCTAAAGAAAAAAATCCGCAACGAAGTGAGAAACCCCGATTTTCTCATAGTGCGCAAATATGAGGAACTTTGGTTCTTTTGATAAAAGATTTTCGAAGTGGCAGATCACAATTCTCATTGTTTATTACTGAATAGGAGAAACTTCTCTGTATCCAAACACCGACTGATTTTCTCTACATCCATTACAGCATGAAATGAAGCTTAGGAAGTCAAAGAAGTGAGCTTTTAGAAGTTTAGACATGTTTAGGCATACCTGTCTTTGCTGATGGTAGAAAATCCTAAATATTTGATATTTGGTAAAAAAAAGCTTTGGTCTACTTTCCCACAAAAAATCATGCATAGAAAACAACAAGAGATTTTTTTAATGAAGATTTGCGTGCCAAAACGAATTCATTTTTTAGCCAATTTAATATTATTTATTTTTTCATTCTCACTCATCTCTCCAAATGAGCTCATCTGTAACAGTCAGCATCTGACGAAGCGAGCTTTTTACGCGCTGTTAATGCGAATGCGTGCCACATATCTCAATTTTACCTCATTTTCAAAAACTATGGGTTAAAACATATTTAGCCTAAAAAATACTGCTCCAAAGAAAGTACTTTTTCGAATAATCTGTCTCTTTTATTTAGAAATGAGGAATTTTGACACATCCACGTAATCATTAGAAAGACTTTATAAAGGGCTTTCGAAGTCACCCGTTCAGAACTTTTGGGATACAGCAGCACAAATTCGGATGGCGTACAAAAAAGGCTGTCTCATTTTCCTTGCTATGTTAGCTGTCATGGTATCACGTAAGGTTTATACAAGAGCAATCACATTCCTGGTTGTTTATCATGATTCAAATAGAAAACTTCCATATATTGTGGAAAAAAAAACAAAGTCCCACATTACTTTCGGATCACCTGATATGCTTCTAACACTGATTTTAATGTCGGTTTAGCAAGATATATTTGAAAATTTTAAAGCTAAGTGATCTATATTAGCTTTCTTGATGATAAAGAAAGTCATTATTTCTACCTTATTCCAACTGAATTATTGCCAAAGTAAGATCTTAGCTTCGCACATATTTATGTTTTATTGAGGCACAACATGCATTTTTCTGAAAGCCAATTTCCGGAAACTATTGTAGGTGAATACAGACACAGTACAAATGTTGTGCATATTGGGTATCATGGTTTTGGAAATGTAGTCAAACGCAATGTAGGTAAAAAGCAGAAGCAAAGCTCAAAAAAGATACAATGTATTATGTTATCCCATAAGTCTTTTTATGTTCGAACCTTCAAATTGATATTTCTGGGGAACAAACTTACAAGGGTGCAAATTTGTGCCAATATTTTTGAGTGAATAATCTATACAATCGCGTATTTGAGAGGAACAAAGAAACGCTACAGGCACAGTTTGAAAATTAAGCGCTTATTTTTTTTCGATTTCTAGCCACCAGAAAAATGCAGCAAACGTATGTGTAATTTCTGTTAGGGAGAGTATATGCGTGAGAGAATGGGAAACACACAGAATTGTTTTGAACCGAGGTACGATTATTTTTGTTTTTTCGAAATTTTGGAATTTTTTTATTGCCTTGAAACTTAACGCGAATCAAGCTTGTTGCTAACTTTCAAACGTCATCTTGTAGAGCTTGCATTGTTCTCTCGAATGGTACTCCGCATCCCATTAGGAATATAAGAAGAACTAACTTAACTTGGTGAAAAGGCAGATATGAAAAGACTATGGGGCAACTTAGAATATAGATATAATTTCTGTGAAATTCATTGTCTCCGCGCATCAATTATCAATGAACTATTATATCAGTTTTAGTACGAAAGGAAACAAATTTCAAGAAAAAATGTGTAAGTCCATTTCGGCGAGGCTAGCTGAAAATTTCCATAGGATGCTTATCCTTTAGCGCCTTAGAGCTATAACAGGTGAGAGCACACATACTTTGCTTGAAAAAATAGGAGATCGTACAAACTTACCAAGGTTTACCAAAGCTGCGGTTATGATGTGGACTCGCATGTGAAATGCACAATCGAATGTTCAACATCTTGTTCTTTATATAGCTCCTGAAGACAGTGCTGTCACCCACACCCATTTTTTCGCGCAGCCACGTTTAAACCGGAATTCGAGATCGAGAATATTAATCTCTTTGACCAGGAAAAACAGCAAACACTGTTCGAATTCTGGAATAATACATTTATTTGATTACAAAACATGATATAATTTGAATGCTGAGAAAATATGTATACACATGTAAACTGACTACAGTGCCGCTCTAAAATTAACGTGTGAACGTTTGAGCATATTAGCTGCACATCGAAAGTAAACAACATATAGTAGAGTGTACATCATTGCTGAGATTAGGAGTCAGTTACAGTATGATTAGTATGACAATTCTGTTCACATGAGGGTATCATAGGTTTTGACAGGCGATGCAGCTACGTTTTGCATCTGCTGGTAATGAAATGCTGGTCGGACAAATGCTGATGGCCTCTGGTGAGATGGAGCAGGTCTGTAAGATAAAATTTTAGTGAAATCAAAAAGGAAATCAGAGTGGCTGATTATAAAACAATGTGTACTGAGGGTGACTTTTCTAGAAAAGGGTTTAGACTACGTGAAAAAAAATGAGGAGAGACCTTTTTCATTGGGTTGGCGCATGAGTTCTAAAACTTTTCTACTAAGAACTTTTGTCTTTTTGAAATTGGTGCTTCCATTTTTTGGTAATATAATAAGTATCGTATGAGCAACGAATGCAGTCATTTCTACCAAATTCCATCATCGCTTTTGAGAGTGAGAATAAGGCAATCTCTAGAAGGGAAAGAAAAAGGAATTGCCACAGATTCGAATGAAATTTGGCCTAGGAGGGCAGGGTTCGACATCCTGATTACAAAAATGATATTCATTTTGCGTGGAGGGCTTATCTTGCAACGAAAAAGTTGAGATACAAAAAATTAGTGGGTTAATTTTTGACTCTGGCAACAGGTGGGTATGATACTCGTGTTCAGCATGTCAAATCACCACCCCGACGGTTCCGACATTTGCATTAATGGATTTCTTAGGTGACTTTAAGCATTCCACTCTTTCGAGTTCACGAGATCGCCAGATTTTGCCTTGAGCTTAACTACAGTTCATTTTTCGCTAGGCTCAGTAGCCAACCTCTAAGAACATTTCACCTACAGTTCTGGATGTTGGTCAATTCAATTCCTGTACGTCTCCGTTTTTACTGAAGAACCATGAAACCTTGATTTCGACCACTTTTAGAAAAATGCGTAGATTCTTCCCATTTCGCCATGAAAAATTAAACAGTTTACATAGGTTTATAGCCCACTTCCAAGTCTACATAACGTCAAAATTCGAATGCGTCTCATTAAAGAGAAAGAAGTTATGAACAAAGTTGCAAAACTTATGTGCCAACCTAATGTTTTTGTAGCTGCTATGCGTAATGGCTTAATAGCAGAGAAAAAGAGCAATTCTGATTTTCATACAATTTTCCATTGAAAGCAACTTGTAATGCACGGATAAAAATGATATTATCAATCATGACTGACAACACTGTCATGCTTTCGAAGTCCTTGTCTGTAGGCATTTTTAAGCACCGATGAACTTTTTTCACTAATACAAATGACGATAGCAATTCTTTTATCTCAAGATCTAAAGCAACTGTCCCCTCACGTGGGATTAGCACACGTGCCATCATTATATTATTGTGAATCGCACTTTTACGGTATATAAGATGATGCGAGACAGTCTGTATAACCATATTTTATTCCAATCGACTGACGTCTTTTTCAAATATAAAAACCCATCGTAAGTTCCCACTTTTAGCATTTTCGAACTAACATTCTGTCTGAGTCTAATATTCTTCTTTACCTTCTTCTGAGAGAAGGATATTCATTAGCTGTTAAGTTACTAAAAATCCTTGCAGATCACCAAAATTCGGAAACTATTCCCAGAGGCATAGTAAACGACCTCTTCATGTGCATTATAATTTAATGTGAGTCATTTGATCTTCTGCAAATAAATCTTGCAAAAGCAAGAATTTGTAACTTAGAATCTTGAGAAAAGATGATTTCACCTCGATGGTTGTATGCGTTGTACGCTGACGGAACGATCTGAGCTGTTGTTGCTAGTGTTTTCCTTCTCTTTCTTGAGATCTTCCAGCAATTTTGTCTTATCACCGAGCTCCTAAACTTTGAGTAATCTAGCAGAGAAGATGAAATATACACTTTACCTGGTTGAGCAAAAGATTTTGACGATGAAGCCAAGCGAGGTGATCGTCATGCGATTGTGGAAGATTGTTTTTCTGGAAAAAAAAGGGTCGAAGTTGTCCCTTCCTGCCATTTCCTTCCAGCGCAGGATTGTGACATTTATTGATTGTCAAAATTCATATTATCATCTATTAGGTCGGTAAATTGGTTTTGTTACACAGGTAGAAATTCGGGCAAAGTCTCATATTAGGCATATAAAAGAATAAAAGGCTTTGGCATCATTTTCGACTTCACGAACATGACTTACAGCGAATAAAAACACAATTCCTAAGCCTTACTTGAAATCATCACGGTTTTTATTGTAGACCGTTGAGTATGAATAAATATTCATGTAAATAAATAAAAGCACAACTCTTAAGGGCACTTCATATTTCATTTTTTTCCCTTTATTTTTCTAGTAATTTCTATCATTCTTTTTCTTCGACTAAGGCTTTTCATGAACCTCCCGAAAAATCAGTAGTAATACGGCAGTTTGGAAGTTTGAGCTCTTCAGTTGTGCAGTTTAAAATTTACTCAAAATGAATCGGAACAATTTCAAAATATTCGAATAAAAAATTCAAAAATATTCTCATGTGTGATTTGTATAAATCTAAAACATCCTAACTTGCTTCTTCCAAAATTTACAAAAATTACGTACCTGTAAATTTACATGAGTAGGAAATCCACGTTCACGGCTTTCCATCAAAGAAATCATGCGCCTATTCAGCTCGGTGATATGAGCTCGCAGAAAGTCAAGCTTTTGTTCATGCACAGCAACTTCCTAAATAAATGACAAACCAGTCAAAAATCTTTGTTTGAACAATAGCCTCATATCCTGAGGTCAGTTATTCTCCAACCTCGCCGCTTTGTGCTACACTTGCTTTGAATTCCATAGTTCAAAGAAAATTTTTAGTAAAGGATTGTTTTTTTGCAAAAGAATTGCGCAAAGTGCTGATGTCAATTGCTATTGAACATATAATTTCTATTCTTAAGTTTGCGCCTATGTCGTAATGCACTTATGAGTGATTTTGTAAGCAACATAAATGACGTCATATTTAATATTTGTATGCGCAAGAGTTAGATTCAAAATTTATACGTCATTTGCGTTAGTGAGGTCACCAAAAGCAGATCCAAGTCGAAGTATGAGTTGACGTACGCTTTTTAAGCTAGATACAAATAAGAGTAGTAAGAGTAGTCATAGCTTGTTTTTCGAGGAGTGAAGACAATACAGAACAAATTTTCTCCGGCAAAGAAAATGTCTTTGACGATAGCAGGATCAGAATACATTATTTTGTAAAGTTGCGTCAACCATAATCACATGGTTAATTGGGAACACTTCTTTTGGGGTTTTCCCATGTCATTTTTGCAGAGCAGTTGTAAAAGAAGGTCCTTCCTTGAAACGTATGATTACAATTGTAATGTAATGAAGTGTCCTACAATTGTATGCAAGTTTTTGAGACTAAAATAACGTTTTTCCTTCCAGATAAAAATACTAATGTTACGTGCTTAGGTAATGGACTAACGCTTTGTAATTAGAATTTTAGTGATCTGTAAATCATCAAAGGGCAAGGAAACTTTATAAGCTTACCAGAGCCACCATTCCCTGTCCCAGAAGGCGTTTTCGCTTGTCAAGTGAAGATAGCCGTTCCCTGTACCAGTCACAAAGCTTAACTGCGGTTTCCATACCTTTCTGGATGAGCTCCAGTTCTTCTTTGAGTAAACTTTCGTGTTTGGCCTAAAATAACATTCATCAGAGGGGTATAGTGATGTACTTAGAGAATATTGAATAAAAGTGGGACCAAGTGTCGATATTTCCTCAGTTTGTTTACGCAGTAATGACTATAATTCTCAAACTTAATCAACTCAAATACTCTTAATATGCTAAACTGCGGATCTTCTGCCACATTTTCCTTAGCTTCTAGAACTCTTTGATCTACCCGTAAGTCTAATGCAGCCATGTCATGGCTAACCGCTCAATTAGGAAGAAATTAGGAACTGTCTGTTTTTCATGTTCTTCGAACTGATTCCGCTTGAAAAGCGATTTCGTTCATGCGACCAATGCTATTTTCAGATTTGCTTAATATGCTTTTTTGCAAAAATTCGTTCAGTAAAAAATAGCTAGAGAAAACTGTCTAGAGCATTCAGTCCATGATCATCGAAAACGGGGCTGCTCAGTTTTCTGACTCAGATTTATTCTATTTGTCTTACATTTCTAAGCGGTTATTGCTCGAAACGCTCGTATAGGTGGAGCAAACTGCCATGCTTGTCTCCACATCTTTTTACAATATGAATTTTGGCACATTCAAATGTCTCCCCGGATACGCCATAACATCTCATAACATTCCATAGCTCCTGAGCATGTCTCGAAAGACCACCTCGTCAACGACGACAGGCTACATTGGATGATAGACTTGATATTAATCGGCATGGAGTGTGTTTGACGCGAATTGTACCCAGCACTAGCTACAATTTAGACCCCCTACCCGCCACATTTTCTGTATTCTCTAACTCAACGTTGCCCCACCTCAATATAAAAGCCACTTCTACAAATAAAGTCATTTCAGACGGCGGATATGCAGCTGCTGATCGGCTTCATCACCTTGGCAGCTATCTCTACCGTGACCGCACTCGAACTGACACCGTCCGTTGAGAATCCCAAGCGATTACCGTACAACTTGAATTCTATCTCAGTAAGTTCTCAGTCAATTCCATGGGTTCAGGAGCATATTTTCTAATTTTTTTAATTTCTTCCAGTCACTCGAAAATATGAAGCGTCCAAGTGGAGATTCCACTGCGATGTTATTTCCCGAAGAGGATGACGACATCGGTCAGTACGATCCTGAAGATGAAGTCGACGAGGAAACACTGAGGTCTGTGTCAGAGGAGCGAATGGGCAAGAGAAGCATTGCACTAGGTAGAAGCGGGTTCCGTCCTGGAAAGAGATCGCTGTCACTTGGAAGATATGGATTCAGACCCGGAAAGCGATCTCTGTTCGATTCGTAAGCTATATTCCATTTTATTCCATTTTCACTCGAGGATTCGATCGTTGGGATGGCTTGTGCCGTACTTTCTCAGCTACTCCGTAACAAAAAATGCTCTCTAAAGCTATGTCGAAGGAAATTCGGCCAAGTTTCTCTGCTCTCATTTTTATCCTCAACCAAGATTTACTTCACCTAGTTGCTGTAGATATTCTAGTTGAGTAGAATTAGCTGAAAAAGTTATTGTTCGAGCAAATCGATCATACAAATGACGGTCGCCATTAGGAACGAAAATGTATCTGCATCGCCCTTCTAGCTTTCGTCATTTACAAATTCGTTCTTATTCAATCTTTTCTTATCTTTTTCTATAATACTACTAAGATTGAAATTGCAGAGCTGATCGCGATGGGTTTTTGACCCCAGTGGATAAGCGTTCTTTGGCCATGGGAAGAATGGGCTTCAGGTAAAATTACTTTATAACTAAAAGACACTCCCGAAAATGTGTCATTTAGGCCTGGAAAGAGAAGCATGGCTATGGGACGCCTTAATTTCCGTCCCGGAAAAAGAAGCGAAGATTTCGACAACGAATTGGAGCTCAGGTAGGTCAAAGAAAAATGACAATTATCTTTGACGAAAAAAGTTATAGTGCTGCTAAGCGCAGTATCGCCATGGGACGTGTGAATTTCAGACCAGGTAAAAGGTCTGTAGCTTCGGGTAGAGTGGGTTTCAGGTAAGCTGGGTAAAATATCCATGTGTACTCTTTCTTTGAAATTTTTTTTCAGACCTGGAAAATAAACCGCTATGCAGTGCAAAACACAACGGCTTCTTCTTCACCCCATATGAAGCTCGAAGAAGTTTACATAGGTCTTTTTCCTCGTTTTGTTACATCATAGCCGCCCATTCACTGCAATATACTACAAACCAGTCGTACCCCCTTTGACGATGAGATCTCAAGTTGCACTCCGGTGTGGTCCTGACGCGTGTATTGACAGAATAAATCGCTTGTTGCATTGGTTACATTGGTCAAATGTTCGTTTATTTTTTTGGCTTTGTGCCAGGTAAGAGACAGAAATAGACATGAGTGAAAACTTGCCACTCTTGGGGCGGTGTCGTCTTCGCATAAGGTGTGCCTCCGTTGCGAATCGGAAGTGCTTGTTGACAAACTGGAATTTCGCCACGCGATATTTTCCAGTCCAGATGAGGCTAAATATAAAACACTCACTTTCATGGAAAGACAAAATCTCTTCTAACAAAAGATGCATTATTGACGTACCTAAACTATTGTATGACGCTGTACTTTGAGGTCGACTACGATTTACAGGTACTCTAGGCACAACATTACTCGGAGGAACAGCATGTCTCATTCTTGATTCTTCTTTTTGTGATCGGACTGTGTTCGCCTGCAAGGTTATGATTTAGTGAAGATAGTTGTGAGTATCGTAAGCTGCTCGAAGATGTTCAGAGATTATTCGAAAATTCGTGTTGTAAAATAAATGAAACTGGAGAGCCATTCAAAAATTGAGTAAAAGCTTCCCGGCCGTGAGGTAACTAGTAGACTGGCTTTACACACTTCTCGACTTGATAGTTCACTAATATGGGTATAAGAAGGAAAAATGTGTAAAAAGCGTCATTCCTTCTCTCCCCCCCCCCGCCTGCACTTCCAGCTTAACTCGATATAACTTCTTTCTAAATAAAAACTAATTTTGCTTTGGTTCTGTGAACAGCGTGAGGATTAACAACTTCAAAAGAGAACAAACAATGATCGCTTGGGAAGCAAATACAAAAGCGTATGAATATTACCCATTGTGCACGAAATTTCATTCTCATTTTTTCAAAATAAATTTTATAAGAAATGAGTTTTTGCTCCACCTGAGTGCTAAAGAAATTTTAACACACTAATTAAGCAATATCGTTACTGAATAATGCACTCAGTAATACATGAATTTTAATCGTTTAGGAATGTAAGACAGTTTGACTTAGAGAATAGTAACAAAGAGCGAACAAAAAACTCATGAGTTACTGCACTCCAAGTTCATAGATTAAGATGATTTTAACCCAGACACAAAGAAGTAGACGTTAGAGATACAGTCACTGTATTGTAAGAACATCACAACTTAGTGCGGTGAACTGTAAAAATCAGAACTTGAGCTTTGTGAGCTCTTCTTTGGTTTCATGAATGCTAAAGTTGATAGAAGACGAAGGAAATTATAAACAAGCAATTTTGGGGGAGGACATTTCAAGTATTCGTCATGATAGCTGGAAATCTTTTTGTACGTATGGCTCGCGTTTCGAAAATTCCCATGAAAAGTTTCTGAACTGGCTCAAAACTGGCGAGATTGCGAATGTGGAATTGAGGGCCTTCGCTAAAAATGTGCGCAAACTTGGAGCGCATTCATGCGCATACGCAAAGCATAGAGCTTTTATAATAACTCGCTCGACCTCCAACTTCTCCGCGAACATTTTCGAATCCAAAGAGACGGATCATTTACACATTTCATAAGATCCGAACGTTATGGTGAGTGAAAAACTAAATTCATGTTTCTAGTCAGAATTACAGAGACAAGGACAGACAAAATGCGCAGATTTGTAATCGTAGAAATTCGAGAGTTCAAAAAGAAAATAACCATTGGTGCTTGCGAAAAGGACCCCTGAAGAATGCAAAGTTGTGAAAGAACGAACATCACTCACCTATGAAAGTGGACAAATCTCATTTTCGAAAATAGGCTATTTTAATGCAGATGACATTAAAAAACCGCGAAAATACAAATGCATGAGATCTCCTCAAAAAATGCTGTCAAATAGACATGAAATCGTGCAAAACCACACATGCGATTCGTTAATCCCAAAAGTGGTATGGACGATCGTCCATTCATGTAAGATGTTTGTCGCATTCTGTTTCCACCCTCAGACTTATTTTCATTCTTAGCTGGTAATGTTTCCTGCTGTGTGAGTTGCATGTGCTTACTGTTTTTGCAACCACGTAAAACCAGTTCTGTCAGATTGCAATGTTCTGACATAGATTATAATTTTTCACATTTGCTAATAATAGAATGACTTGTCGGAGAAGAGAAAAATTTTCATGGTGAACGAATCTGGTAATTTGGTGGGTACACAAACTTTGCAGTCTGGATTGCAAAAGTTGAGCACTTATTTCAAAAGTCATAAACTTTTTGTTATCTTACTACCAGGTTGCCTCATGAGTCTTGCACCATTTTTCTGTGAATTCAGAAATTTCTTTAAATTCAGTGAGTGCGTTCAGTTCGATATACAGGGTGTCCCAAAAAATGTCAACACTGTTTGATCGTTAATAACTCCCTTGCTTTTATGCCTTTCGCCGAGCTCGAGATACTATTCTGTAGAGCGAGCTTCATCTTAGTTTGCTGTATGAAGCGAAGCATCGATCGCTCTCCATGACTGTAGGATTACGGTAGGAACTTCCACAAGGATTTTAGGCCATTGAAGGCCATATGCTGCCTCGCAACAAAACTAAACAAGCCAAAAACTCTTATACTACGGTAATGGAAGCCGCTGATTTCGAATATGAGGTTTCCACTTTATTGTGATGCTTCTTTCCAAAGTTATTTCAGGTGAACCGTAATAACTAAATTCTCAGCATTTGTCAAAAACGCGACGACACCGTCGAAAAAGCTGAAAACACTTGTATAAAGTTGTGTAGTGGGATCAGCGTGGACGAAATATAATAGTACGCGATTTTTCAGATTTTTTGAAAAAAAAATATGTCAGATGGCATATTTCAGAATAGATTCACGTGCTGGAAGTTTTTACCATAATCCTACAGGAACGAAGAGCGATCGGTGATCCGCTCTATGTAAATCTAAGTTGAACCTCGCTTTACAGAATGAAGCCTCAAGCTTGGCGAAAGATTTGAAAGCAAGGGAATTACCAACGATCAAACAGTGTTCACATTTTTTTTTGAGACACCCTGTATAACGAAGAGTGAATCATCCGTTTGAAGAGGCGCGGTGTTTTACACAAAAAATATTTATTTGTACATAGTGTTTCATACAAAAAAATACTGTGGCGAAGCGCGGGGACAGAGGCTGCTCAGGAAAACACTAAAATAGTATTAATTCTTTCACCATAGTCAAACATACTGCAATCAAAAGAAATCTGATTCTAATGATATTTTTGATTTTTTGCGCTATCAAGAAGAATTTGTGCTTACTGGAGCACTCTAACAGAATTCAATCTTTGATTTTTTTCGGCTTCATTGCTTTTCTAGCGCACAATACTAAGCAACATTTCCTATACGATGTAAAATGTGCACCTTATAACAGCTGTAACTTCGACATTTCTGACAGAATTTTTCGTAGTTTTCTGGTGCGAAACTTATGGAACAATCCAATGGATTTCGTAACTTTAAAAAACTTATTTTGCAAAACAAGCAAGAATGGGAGATTGTACAGATAACTCAACGTAAGCAGCCAAAAGGAAGGTAAACAGTCGCAAACGACAACGACGCGTAACACGAACAAGATACGAAAAATATGAAAAAGTTTGAACCATTATCAGATTACTATAAATTTTCCCAAAGTAGTTTATTACTTTAATTGTTTCTAATCTCTATTGATAACACTTACTGATACACAAATTATAGCTCGGAAATGTTCATAATAATCAACGATCAATGGAAAATTTCCTTAAACGCGCTCACAACTATTACAGAAGAAATTGAGAATCATTTTCATGGTTGTCAACAGGAATCACTCGACCTCTTTACCCAGTCGAGAGGGTTAATTCATATTACAGGATAAAAAATGAAGAAATGACACTATTGAGACAATCGTTTTGCGAGAAACAAATCAAATCTGACGAGCATTCTAATTAGGGCGCGAGATGTGACAGTCTCTCCTTCCTTGTTTTTTCCGCAATCAGTCCAGGCCACGTTCCAGTTGTAGAAACTAATTATTGTTTTCCTAATTCGCTCTTATTTGCTAAATGTTCTCTATATTACCAGCTATTAGAAGAGTACTACAAAGACCAAGCAAGTATTCACTACAAACATGGACTCGTATGCCGTAGCGAAGAAAACCAAAATCTTTTGTGACGTCCGCCATAATGAAAATTTGAAATCAAGGTTTTCTGCCTTTTTTAGGTTGTTTAAAGAAAGGATGTAGCGTACATGGGAAGGTCTTATTGTTAGAAATAAAAAGACAAATAGGGCACATGTGGTCGAAAACTAATTTACTGGGTTGATTCAAGGTTCCGCTCCTTTATACAGCTTCCAACAGTCAATTTTCGAAGGATAATCATGATTCACATATACTTTGTGTATTATCTTACTATTATAGAGCCTCCTTCATTTTATGCGGGACTTGAAAGGAATTCAAAGAGCTTTTCGAGAACGGACGATATGAATTTAATAGCTCCTCTCAGCCAACCATACACTTGAACAGAGTTTATTCTACCCTTCTCGAAAAGGTTTTACAAAAAAAAACTTGGCAATCTTCATGCTGAATTTCTTTTTCGTTGATGCTGCTATTACACTCGCAACAACATTTCCAGAAGAAAACTGCGAAGCTGGTGTGCCACATTTCAAAATTTTTTTGAATTTCTATTAGCTAGTAATGGTAACTCAGACTTGAGGAACGGGCAGACAACACCAACGTAACAATAATCTTTAATATTGCGCACACGTTATTTCAGATTAGGTTAACACGAAGACAAGACTAGACAGTAGAAAAACTTCAAAAAGACTTTTCAACTGTGGCACACCAGTTTTGCAGTTTCTGATCAGAGAACTTGATTCATTAAATCGAAAAGTAGGAATGTGCAATCACTCGTGACCAAGGCTCGACACGAGGTGGCTACCCGAAAATGCAAAAAACAAAGTCATCCTTGACTTTCCCAAAATTTTACAAAGTTCCCTTTGACCTTAAACCCTAATCGTGCAAAACCCTTTACGAAAGAATGGCAGACTAAGAAACGTCGTATTTTTCGGCCACAAAAACGATACCCCCTTTACTTTTTGTCCCAAAAACAATATCCAGCTTGCTTATACGTCACCTGTACCGAGCCCTGCTCGTAGCAAGCAAAACTCCTACCTCGATTTTTGTTATCAAATAACCGAAAAAAAAGCGTTTGGAGCTGTGCTGACGCATTTTCAAAAAAGATTTTTTTTTTCGAACGAATGAATCCTGAAAATGTACAGACTAAAATGGAATATCCGTCTACAATAATGAGATATGAAAATTCAAATAAGCGCAAGTTTGAAAGACAGAATTGTACATACGGGTGACGAGACAGAGACACGACGACTGCCACCCTCAGCGCTTTTATGGATGTGAGAAAACGACACAACATGGGCTAACCGGTGTAATTGATGTTTTCAAGTGGATTTAATGATTTGTACGAAGTCGGAAATGAAGAATATTTCCTAAATTTTTGTTTATAACATGTTAGACTGTAATCGTACACCAAAATATTTTAAAATTTTCAATTATTTCTTATTTCTTTGATGTATAATATAATATCTGTACAATTTTATTTGAAATCAGGAATTCTTTGCAACGGAGTGAGAAAACAGAAACCATAAATTATACTATCTTGACACTATGTAAAGATGAGTTTTCTAAAGCATTAGTCCACAAAAACAAAATTGAACACTGGAATCTAGCATTTCCCAATTGACCAAATAATAATTAAATTTAAAGAGCACTAAAAATGCATGATTCCAATTTCGTGGAATCAGGCAAATTTTTTGGACCGCCAGGAGAAATTTTGAAAATCTTGGTGCAGGTTTATGTTTTAATCTGATATGATGTTCCTAAGCCAGCATTGCTTAAAATTCCTTTGAGCTGTACCCAATAAACCGAATAATTGGGTTCCAAAAGTGAGTCAAGTAGTGTATTTGCGTACGGGAGTTTGTTTGAGCAAGCACTGAATATGAGGTTTGATGAAATGAATATCCTTTATGCGAAGCGACAGAAAGAGCAAAGAGAGATTTGTTCAATTTTTAGAAAACTTTGTGGCTTTATGCAACAGAGCTGCATTTTGTATTAGGTTGTTGCAAAAGTTCTGTCGTTTCATTTTCAAAAATTTGTAACTCCGCGATTTCAACGGATTTGCTTGCTTGTAATTTTATTAGAAAGAATAAGCCTTTCGCTTTCAAATGCTGTTTTGCGGAGCTTCTGTTTCACATTGGGCGCGGAGATAAAAATGGAAAATTAAGACCATGTAAGCTTTGACCATTTTAAGTTAGGTCACCAAAAATCTGAAATGCTGCAGAAAAATCTGAAATCCTCAGTACATATGTTTTTTGGCCTACCCTTTGCATCTGTGAAAAGTTTGCGCTGTTTACAAATTAATTAATTTTGGTGTTTTCCATAGTAAACTCGATATTCATAACTTCTCACAGAGACGTCCAAACAGCGCAAGCTTTTCACAAATGCAAAGGGTAGGCCAAAAAACATATGTACTGAGGATTTCAGATTTTTCTGCAGCATTCCAGATTTTTGGTGACCTAACTTAAAATGGTCAAAGCTTATATGGTCTTAATTTTCCATTTTTATCTCCGCACCCAGTATGAAACAGAAGCTCCGCAAAACAGCATTTGAAAGCAAAAGGCTTATTCTTTCTAATAAAGTTACAAGCAAGCAAATCCGTTGAAATTTCGCGGAGTTACAAATTTTTGAAAATGGAACGACAGAGCTTTTGCAACAACCTAATACAGGGTGTCCCAAAAAAATGTATCGAACGTTTGATCGTTAATATCTCTCTTCCCAAGAAGTCTTTTGCCTTGCTTTAGGTACCGTTTTGTAGAGCTGGCTGCAACTTGAATTTGCATTATAGAACGAATCACTCATCTCGTTTCATTACTGTAGGATTACGGTAGAAACTTGAAACATATGGTGTCAATGTGGAAAAAGCTGCCGTTTCAAAAATTTTCAAAAAATTGTGAAAACTTGTGTATTGGGGTTTTTATGGACGCTGAGTTCAACACTCAACTATTCTCAAGGTTGCGAAACTTTCTAAACGGTGTAACCGCACTTTTTAGGAACATTGGAGAAATGGTTGCTACCTCTTACCTGGCATAACTCTTCAATAAGACATCATAATAAGTTGGGAACTTTACAGTTGTAATCAGCAACTCTAATTAGCCTAGTGTAAAAGCTTTCAGGCTGTTTTGTTTCCTTTCTGAGGCAAAATATGGCCTTTCATTTCTTAAAACGCTCTTTGAAGTTTCTACCGTAACCCTACAGTAATGAAGAGAGATGAGTAATTCGTTCAATGATGCAAATCTAAGTTGAAACCAGCTCTACAGATTGGTGCCTGAAGCAAGGGAAAAGACTTCTTAAAAAGAGAGATATTAACGATCAAACGTTCGATACATTTTTTTGGGACACCCTGTATATTACTGAGTACATGTGTAGCATTCACCGACAACATGAACGGTGGTATTCTACTCTTTCTAAACAAGACTATGCCCAACGTCCGGTTCTAGGAGATTTAATCAGGTTCTTGCCAGAGTATTGTATTAACACACAGTTAGGAAACACGAAAAACAGCGAAACGTCGACGAAGCTTGGCAAGTGTAAAGAAAATTTTCAGAGAGATCAATCAATTGAAAAATGTGTACAAATGCCTAACTCCATCGAAAAAATTATTAAAAATGATTTCGAGCAAGCATACTGAGGGTAATATACAGATTTAAATAAACAACCTCATATCAAAGCCAAAAAAAAAAATTTTGTGAGACAGAATATCAACAAGAGGAAAAAAACTCTCATGGCACGAAATGCAAACTGAGAAAATGCAAAAATTTCTCAAAAGATGCCTGCTTATTGGAAATCCCTCCGTGGAACACAAACTTTAGCAGCTTGAAAAATACATCTAAATAGCAGGTAGAGATATATTAGGTTGTACCATAAGTCCTTTCGTATTCGAACCCAAACTGATATTCAGGAACTAGAACACCTACGAGGATGCAAATCTGTGGCAATATTTCTATGTAAATAAGCTAAAGCAAATATTTGCGAGGAACGCAGAACTGCTATAGGCAATCGGTTTATTATATTTTCTTAATTTTTAGACATCACAAAAATGCAGCAAGTGTATATGTAGATATAACTGATGGAGAGAGTATGTTCGCGACGAGTGGGAAATTCGCAGAGTGGTTTTGAAATGGGTACGATTATTTATGTCTATTTCAAAAATTCGGAATTTTTTTTATTTTGGTTTGAAATTCAATGCGGGTCAAGCTTGGCGATCTGTAGAATGGTAACCTATAAGAAAATATAAGAAGAAATGACTTGTGGAATTGAAAATTCAGATATGATAAGACTTATGGGACAACCTAATACATCCAAAACTTTTACCGACATTTTCAATTGGTGGAAATGATACAGAATGGAATGATAGGTGATAAATCTCTAGAAATCTACTCACTGTCAATTTTTTGGTAAGATGAATATCGGATAGTTCGCCAAGGATTAAATTTGATATTTTTTACTAGCAAGTTGATTACCATCAAATCAAACCTAATTTCTAGACCTCGAAGGATACGCAGAAAAGCCAAACACCCTAAATAAACTGTAAAAATACTATTTGCATATAGAAAGCGCTAAAACATCAGTGAATACACTAGACGCATTACCACGAACAGAGTAGCTCGTTTTCAGGGCCCGATGATTTCGTGCTGAGTTGTACGAACTCCTAATCGTACACATACGCTGTGCGCATATAATTGTTTGCATAATCCATTTGCAAGGTTCTGCGCTTGCAAGAGCGTTCGTGACAGAGCACCTGGTAAGTTATGCAATTCCAAAAATAGTGGATGTGATCGTTAAAAAACATGTAGGGAATGAAGGAACAATGAAAAGGTACACATACTAATTTGATTTATAAACATAAGTTCTTCCCAACATTCTCCGAAGATCACAGACTTCCTTAAGGCGTTTGATTACACTTTTGTAGAGTAGGCAGCATATATTAATGACTTTTAAGTATCATTGTGGACTTTTTAAAAAGTTTGTCTATATTTCTTTTGACATTTTCCTCAAAATCCGCAGTTAGAGGCATTTAATCAGTTTATCTTAGTGAGAAAAAGTAAGCGATTGGATGGAAATACTGCAATTTTTCAGAAAAAATTAGCAAACCATTCCCAAAGGTTGGAGATGCATTACTATCATAAAAATGCTCAACGCTGCTGTAGAGGAGATGTTCTTTTAGACAATTAAAATCATTTGATTGGTGAGCTAGGTGGTAAAAGTGATTATTGATTTCTCGAGTTTTTAGCGACGCAAACAAATCGAGTGTTGCCTTTTCTCAGCTTGGAAATTCGTTATATACCAAAACTAACTTAGCTTTAAGCACTGTTGGAAAAAGCGTAAGTTACACCTTTCAATTCACATTGCAAACAATTTCGTTTAAAATAAGAAAGATAGGTTTTCTCGGAAATTTAGCACAGAAATTATGCACCAATACCGACTTAACGAAAAAGGTTCTATGGTTTTTCTTTTTTATTTCGCAAAAATGGGAAATAACTCCACACCGCTATGACTCTCTTTCTTTTTGCTGGGCTAATTGTTCCAGTTTTTACCGCTCTCGCTTTTACTACCTCTTACAAAAAAGTAGAAATATAGAGATTACAACTTGTACTGGAAGTTCGAAACATCCTCCGAGCGTGAGACTGTTGTAAGCACTGGTTATTTTACGGCTTGAATTATTTTTAGAGGAAAGGAATATATTCGACGATATATTAGCATGTTGTATGATTTCGGTCAGACAGAAATACTATAATATTCCACTTTAGGCGCACGTTGATAGCTATGATCGCATATTTGATCAAGCGAAAAAATGGACTGAGAGAAATAGAGAAAGTGGAAAGAAATTTTTTTCTCAAGACTACCTAACAGATTAGGTAGGGTATGGATTATCAGGAGGTAATCATAGAAATTTTTATAACTGATACCACCCTAAACAGGAGAAGAATAGCTGAGGAGGCAAATATAGATTTCTGCAAATATATCTCTCAGTTGACAAATCTAACAAGCGCTTCAAATGTAACACCGGCTTGCCGTGTTTCCAGGGCTTAATCAGGACATTTAGAATTACGAGAGCTCTTAGAACCAAGAAGAATGCAAAGTGAAAATACAAAACAGGTTCTAACAATCGAGCTAGACTGTTCAGTATGCATAATGTAAATTGTAAACTAACTTTTTTTGGTCGCATCGCGACATGTGGCTCGCCAGCATCGTATACGTTCGCATAATTGCACATCGGTGCATACAATGGCGCACATGCGGGCAACGACACGTACGGTGGAGCAGCCTGAAGCTATTTATAAGTACGGAATACGATCGTATAGGTTTTAAAAATTCTAAGCCCTTAGATCTCAGCCAGTGCAGGTCTTAGACCTGAGGCATACCTCACGCGATTCCCGTCGCTGCGCGATTTTGTACTGCAACAACTTTTCATAATATTCGTGAACCAACTTTACTCACGCCAGATTTATTACTTTTGCCCAAACAGAAAAGCTACGTGCATATGCATTTCACATTAGCGCACGATTAGTCTGTAGACATTTGGCAAAACGCCAAGTCGCGTGGATGTAGCAATTTGACGGAATCGCGGGGATTATCTTAGGCCTTAAAGACCACCGATGAACAATTTTGATAAAAAAATTAGCAAGGATTTCGGTATACCTGTCAGGTTTGGCAATGTTCCAAATGTTCATAAATCGCCTTTAACGCAGTTTTCATATTACAAGTCTGAGGCGATAGCGATAACTGTAAATGTTATGTCCAGTACGCACCTACAGTCCGCGCATGGTTTTTGAGGGGATCTGGCTAAATGCCAAATCGCCCATAAACAATCGCGCCCTATACGCACGAGGAAAAACGCTTCGCTGCACACGTTCTCAAGTCTCCGCCCTAGCTCAAATCTGGAACTCGCGCATACGTATCTTCTTTAGCTATTATATCATGTGAATAAAACTAATGAATGAGCCATTGAATTTGAAAAACTGGGATTCATGATATCTTAGAATCATTTGAAAATGGCTTTGAACCAGAAAGGATCGAAGATTTCGCAGCGGGGTACAGCTGTTATTTTTGCTTTTTTGAGCTTTCTAAGGGTGCTTTCCGTTTTGAAGACTTTGCAATTTTCAAATAGCTAGAAAACCAATAATGTATGTTTACGATATGGTGATAAACCGACTAGATTTGGATTTGTGAATCTCATTCCAAATCAAGAAAATTCGAATATCACTATAGGGTTCAAGACGAGGGAAGGATATAGAAAGCTGGAAGGCAACCAGCAGATCTAGACATTCTTTGTAGAGCAGTTGAAAAATAAAGATTTTGTTTCTTCTTTTTTTAGTTTGCAAATGAGATAACATCACCTTCTCTTTGCTATACTTTATGCTACGTTTATCTAATAGAGATTCCTAGTCATTTTATTTATTCATTTTTTAAAGCTTTTTCTGAACTCCATAACTCAGGTGGAGGGACAAGAAGGATCGTTGTAAAAATTCGTAGCACTTACATAATTTCTTTCCAATCCATGATTTTGACTATACCGTCCATCACTTAAACTTGGCTGACTGCCATAGATCATTGAGCGTCGATCCAGCCCATTTACGCCCATGGCTGGAGCCTGCATTCTTCGCTTGTCAAAACTGTAATCCGTTTTCTTATCTGCTTTATAAAATAATTTCAGAAAAGAAGCTTACTTATTCTGATTTAACCTTCCCTCGCTTTGCACGCGATATAAGCTATTATTGTTGATTTCAAATGAGTCTTTCAGCGATAATTTGACAGCCGTCACGAATCGTTCGAATGAGATGAGCCTTAAATCTTATATATATGGTATTTCTCGGGGAATTTTCGAAATCGAAAAGTCTTACCCGTTTGCAGGAGCGACTTTTCCAACGCAGCTGAGAAAAGTCGGTGGCAGAGTGTGATGAAGCTCGGAAAACCTCGTGCACAGCTGAAAGCAATTACTCATCCTATTTATTTGAGACTAGAGAAAAACAGCCGCAGATGGCACATCTCGAGGAACGTCTGCAGTTTGAATAGTGTAGAAAAGTACATATTTTAGTAAATGTGGCGAAAAAGTGCTATGAAAGTTTTTCTCCCGCTTTTTTAAGGGTTTTTTTCGTCAATTTTCGCGATGCTTGAAGTATAGCTTATGAACTCAAAAGAAACGCGTTCTTCTCCAAATAAGAAGAAAATAAAAAGAACGTCAAATTGCGCTGAGGCGCAAATAAGCGCCAATGTCAACAATACGCGATCACGTTCAGCGTACCGAAAAAGACGTATTGCCCTTCAATAAAACCAACATAGAACTTGAAAAATGCCATTAACCATGGAACATTTGCCAAAATTGCTTGAGGAAAGTGTTTTCACATAGCCAGCCTGCAAAGTCTGCAGCTTGCCTTTTTCTTACTTCCCCCATTTATAAATCTTATCAAGTCCATAAAATAAGGCATATCCGAACAGAGCTAGGAAAAGTCAAAATATTATTTTGGTACTGTTGACAATCTTTTGCACAACTCGCTCGTTTTCAACCAACTCGTCATTTCTCTTCTCCAAAATTCAAATTCCGTTTGGACTCTATAAGTTTCAAAGGCATAACCACAATTATTTATTTGTTGACGCATAGAAAATAAACAAGTATATCTATCATAAAGGGTAATCCTAGACATTCATCAAAAAAGAGATAAAATCACTTAGTCACTCGTTGGAATATTTTGCCATCAAGATGGAACATAAGCCTCACCAAAACCTTCGCAACTGCAAAGTCGTTCAATTCCAGAAAAGTTTCTTGACCTCAGAAATTCCAAAATAAATATTGTGGTTCTTATAGTACTGAAGGTTGTTGGCTTGTCGGTGAAACAAGCTAGAAAGGAAAGAGAGAACACTTAAATTTTACTTTTAACAAAGTGATAAAAAGCCCTTTGAAAGATTGTTTTAGTTTTGGGTTGTTTAATGACGTGATGTTCAACACAAAGAAAAATTTGTACTCATCGGAAAAAAGCAAAGTTATGATTTTTGAATCCGATACATTTGTCTTAAGCAATAAAATCTTCAGGTAATAAAATTAGATGGTGCTGAAAGTTCTGTCGTTTCATTTTCGAAAATTTGCGAATTTTGGTTATCCCTGGATTTGCTACTTTGTTAACTTACTGTAAAGACGAAGTCTTCTTCTTTGTGAATATATTATATATTGTATATAGCTTCTAGTGTGCACTCACTACGGAAATAAAATTGAAAAAAGAGGATCATTCAGGGTTTGCTCATTTTAGGTTTGGTCGTCAAAATCTTCAACGTTGCGGAAAAACATAAAATGTCAGGAAGCATTAAGTAACCTAATCTCTTCAAGTGTGTAAAAGTTGTGCTCTACAAAAATCGGTGAACATTGGCAGCAAAAAGTTACAAATTTTCAAAAACGAAACGAAAGAACTTTCGCGACAACCTATTAAAATACAACATTATTGTAAAAGATGAAAAAATATGGTATGAATCAAAATGTTCTTCCAAACGTTTCATGAATTTTTTCGAGAACATTCGTTGCAAGACTTCAGTTACAACCTAGCGAGTGTGAAAGTCTTAGACTATACCAGATGGAAGTCCGGCAGACTTCAGAAACGGAGCGTTTACGATCAGATTTGAGAGTACGCAAGACCATTTGAACGACAAAACCAGTCGTAAATACACTGCATTGGCGCACCAAAAAGTTCCTGAAGCCGCGAGCGCTCGTGAGTCAATGTTTTGTGGGAAATTTTCAAGTGAGCTCGAGTACGTGGAGGGGGGGGGGGGGTGAAAGATTGAATGACCCAATCGTAGCTGTGAGAAAATCACTGAGCCTTTTGGAGATCCATAAATGATAAGCGAACTGGACGATAGTGTTTGATGGGGATGTTATTGCGAACGGTCGCCAATATTGTTCAACATCGGGGGCCATCAATAAAGCGGACAAGGGAAAGAGTGGGGGCGTTGAGATGAGCTTTGTTAGTTTTGTCTGCTGTTTGGTTTCGAGGTGTTAAAAATGGGTCGGGACATAAAACAACCCACTACTTGCATGGCTGTACTGGAATACTAGTCTCTGTTAGGTGTGAATTTCAGACAATCTAAAGAGCATGAAGAAGATAAGAATCTGGAAAATTTACAAGAATGTGACAATATAAAATAAAGCGGTTAAGAGGTACGCTTTCATGAAGTTGTAGCAAAATGAAGCAAGAGTATTGGTCATAGAAGAAAGCATGAAGGTGGCAAAAATGTATCATTTAATTTTCGAACAATTGTTGAAATAAAAAGGGCGGACATCGAAAAGACGGATGACTGACTCTCTCGCATCCCGCTGGTAGAATTTCAAAAATCTTTGAGACGCTTGCTGATTTCTTATTTCGACAAAAATCTCAGCTATTTACCCGCAAAAAAAAACCAGAGCGAGAACAAGATCAAACAAGCGGCATCGCGCAAGCGGGCATAGTGCAAAAAGAGGAAAAAGCGCATTTTCCAGTAACCGCCTACCCCAATATCTGAGTACCAGAAAGCTCTAATTCCTTACGTTTTCATATCTGATCTTGCCAGTGCGTGAAGTATCCAGAATATCGAAGAGAACTCGCAATGATTCGACAAATTCTGGATGCAAATCCGGCGATGGATTTTCCGATCCTGAAATGAATCTCAGAAAAATTCCAGTCAGTAGAATAAGTGGATAAGTCGTAAATAGACTCTCCCAAGCTTCGCTCAAGAGTATGTCTCTCCTTAAGCAAACTTACTCATCTCTTCAGTCCGTTGTTTAGTACAAAAACAGCTCTGTCCAAGCGGAGCCGCCGGACGAGAGCGCGACTACAAGTGGCGGAAAATCGGCTCAACTGTTGTTGTGCTCTCGTAGTATTGTGTTGCACTCGGGATTGCACACTCTGAAAGCGCTTTGCATAGAAATTTCGCTAGTTCGTTGTACTCCACGGGACGAGTTTGCCATAAACGAACAATGCGGATTATACACATGCCTATCACAATGCCCTGTGGAAAAATTTGAGCATCAAAGAAAGCACCAGAGCGGAGATGCAAGCGTTTTCATAGTGTCAAAAGGTGTTTGCAAAGTGACGATACAGGAAGGAAACGTCGCGTACGGTTGCCGAAAACGTAGACGGTGCTGACACATCTTTGTAAACAGACAAAAATAGGATTGCAAAACTAATACCGTATGTCACCTAGGTAAGTGCGAAATTGTATTTGCTAACACATTCGCAGAAAAAAAGAGTGATTGTTTCAAGACAAGTCGCGGTAGAGTTACAGTAGCCCTGATTGAATCTATTGATGCCTTGGGTCACCCTTGGGCCATAGCATTTTTGAAAAAATTTCTAACTTTGCAGCTTGTGCATAGAATAGTTTTTGTATTCAAAGATATTGTAAGATATGGTACACGCTTTGGTTTTAATGAAAGCACGTTTATATAATAGTTTGAAAAAGCAGTCCCTTGAAACCAAGAGTCAAAAGTCAGTGCAGAGAAGATTGTGCAAAATCTCGTCGCCGCCAATGGGTAAAACCGTGGGTACAATCATCTTTTGTAATCGGCATGATTACAGAAGGTAATATGTTCTTTCACTTCGTGTGCTCGTCTTTGTACTCTCTAAGGTGTTATACTGTTCTTCTTATATATAAAGCTGAATGTCTGTTTGTATGTATGTCTGTACGTATGTTCCGAATAGAAAATTCCATTTCTGAACCGATCCGGACCAAACTTGGCACACATACACTTCGGGCCCCGGCGGGTGTCATAGGCTACGTTTCGTCATCGATCGATATCGATTTTATCGATTTTTATCGATTTTTTTGCTGAGTTCACCTACGGGGCTGGGAGTTGGCACAGGGGGGTAATCGAGCATGGGGATTCCGAATACAATATTGGTTTTCAGGAATATCGATTACTTTTATCGATTTTATCGATTTTTTTGCAAAGTTTGAGCTACGGGGCTGGGAGTTGGCACAGGGGGGTAATCGAGCATGGGGATTCCGAATACAATATTGGTTTTCAGGATTATCGATTACTTTTATCGATTTTATCGATTTTTTGCAAAGTTTGAGCTACGGGGCTGGGAGTTCGCACAGGGGGGTAATCGAGCATGGGGATTCCGAATACAATATTGGTTTTCGGGATTATCGATTACTTTTATCGATTTTATCGATTTTTTTGCAAAGTTTGAGCTAGGGGGCTGGGAGTTGGCATAGGGGGGTAATCGAGCATGCTGATCATCCCCAAGGGGGGTGATCAGCATGCTCGATTACACCCCTGTGCCAAATTCCAGCCCCCTAGCTCAAATTTTCAAAAAATCGATAAAATCGATAAAAGTAATGGACGATCTTGAAAACTAATATTGTATTCGTAATCTGCATGCTCGATTACCCCCCTGTGCAAACTCCCAGCCCGGCAGGTCAAATTTTACAAAAAAAATCGATAAAATCGATAAAAGTAATGGACGATCCTGAAAACTAATATTGTGTTCGTAATCAGCATGCTCGATTACCCCCCTGTGCAAAATCCCAGCCTCGCATGTCAAAATTTACAAGAAATCGATAAAAGCAATAAAAGTAATCGATAATTCTGAAAACTAATATTGTATTCGGAATCCCCATGCTCACTTCCCCCCTGTGCCAACTCCTAGCCCTGTAGGTGAACTCTGCAAAAAAATCGATAAAAATCGGTAAAATCGACATCGATTGATAACGAAAAGTGGTGTGACACCCGCCGGGGCCCGAAGTGTATGTGTGCCAAGTTTGGTCCGGATACGGCGGAGCCGGGTAAGCCAGCTAGTAATTCATAAGTTATCCAGAAATTACCGCCATAGAATGCTGTGGTGCAAAATAAAGTGGTACAATTACACAAAGCGACTCTTGGAATAAATGCGAGTTGGATACGAATTAGCTTGCATAAAGCAAAGCTTCATTTCAATAAGACTACTTTCGTCGAATAATCAGTTTCGCAAATGCACTATTGAACCTATCGGAATCTTAGCCAAAGCAGATTCAACAGATTTTTGACCGGTACTCACGGAAATTTTCGGTGATATTATGCAAAGTGAAAAAAATTTGGTGGATTTTATATTCTCCCTAATTTTTTGGTACGGATGGATACCAAGACTGAGCCAGCAAAGCCATTGGACGAGCCATGTTTCTACCCTAGCTTGCTGTCTGGCATCGGGGGATTTGCATAAGAAGTATGAGTGCAGAAACAATTGTATATAGACGGGTACTGGGACCTAAGCCACGTCATTGCCAGTGAAAAAGTTTGTGTAATTAATAGTAAGATTCTAGATGAAAGAATTTATTTGATCTCATAAGAGAGGTTTGCTTGAGTTCTTATGTCTAAATTAACCAGATTTGCTATTTCAAACTAGTTTATTGAGGCTAGAAAGAGAATAAAGAGAATATTCATTGTATATGCACCTAAACTAGAGGAACTAGCACAAACCAGTGAAACTTGTGGGCTCTATCAATACATGCCTAGCTAAGATGAAGGTTTTTTTTGTAAAATATCTGGCTACATAGTGTACTTATAATCAATTATAATTTTTACTCAAAGAAAAATTGCAAGATTTATTGCATTTCTGATGTTTAGTCAATATACAGCAATCAGTCTAGATCGAAAGAAAGCCCATGATGACGTTAATAAAATTCAAGTAGCAAAAATATTAGATTGATGCATATCTTGCACCAAAATTTTTGAAATTCTCTTAATCCTTCAGCTCAATCTTCTGATTTATACATATTGAAAAGAAAAGCTTGCGCTTTTGGTAGGCGCTCAAGTCAAAAATCCTTGAGGGCATATGGGAACGATATAAGCTAATTAAGAGAATTACTATGAAGTGATTTTCTGAAAATTGATAAAACGTCTACTGAAATTGGAATTTATTTTTCATCTTGGTTTTATGACATACTCTTTTTGATCAAGAGAAGTTGGTAGTGTTTGAGTGTCTCTGTCAAAAGTTACGGATTTTTATTTTTCAAAATTGACTCTTTGCGTTTGTTTCATAATGATTTTCTGAAATGTTATGAAAAAACTACTAATGATATACATAACAAAAGGCATATCTGTAAATTGATGAGTTTGTCTAGGCATTTGAAAAAATTCTATTCTTTTGCAAGAATTGTGCATCATTCTAATAGAGTCTGCAACTTCGGGAGTAAAGTGTAGTAAGGCACACTAACCTACTAAAGCTGACTTCAAAAGTTCCTTCAAGAATGTAATATAAGTTTTAATGTGTACAGTGCCTTGATGTAAAAGTTAAGCAGATGGAATGAACGGGAGCAAATTAACCACAATATTTTACTACCAGGAATCAGGATTTACCAAAGATTAAGGATTATCTTGCTCAATAACGTGTAAAATGTTCATGCAAGATAAAACTTCACACATCGGCTGCATTCCAGAGTTAGAAAAAGAAATTATAGGTATGCAGTGAAGGTAAAAAGCAGGCGGAGAATCCGGAGAAGAGACAGAAAGGTAAATTGACTCTTGCGGGAATTATAATCGATTGAGTTCGAAAATGGGCAGCGTGGTTCTTTAGGAGAATGGGCGAGCAGAGGGGGACAAGTTCAAATGAAGGCCGTGTTTAACCGAATGTGTTCCTGATAAAATCCAATCGTTTGCGGGATTTCTTCACGTTTCGTTCGTTTAGTGGGCAAAAAGTTTCGCGCACAGTTTTGCAAACGAATGAGGTGTTAATTGGAACACGAACAGCAGCCAAGTTTGGGACTAGGGATGGGCTACTGTGAAGAAAAGGGGGACCGAATAACTTTAGCTGTTTTCTGGCCGAATCAAGTTTGGAAAGTGGCGTTCAGAAAGATTCGACAAAGCGCCCGTTCGTTCTCTTGATGCTAATCTTTGCCAAATTCCACACATTATATGCAGTTGCGTAACCGGTTACTGATTCGGATCAAAAACAAAAGCGTCATTTGCATATAACAATAGCGGTCCGAAACTAGTGCGAGTCAGCAGAAGCGTCCCGCAGCGGAACAGTGTTTATCAATGTGGAGTTAAGGCGGTCGAGCTTCATACGGCTAGGATTATACTGGCGTTGGTCTGTAAGCAAAGAGCTAACAAACGGCACCAACCAAGCCACGGTAGCTGGTAGAGGTCAACTTGGGTCAACGATATCCGTAAGTGACACTTGAGTGGCGGAAACGGGGTTGACGGCCTCGACAGAGTAACAAAAATAGAAGAAAAATTAGAAGTGAAACAGGTTATGAGCGGGTTATTGTGAGCATTTCGTAAAGATGGAGAGCGTAATCTGTCTCGTGAGCCTACCACATTAGCCATACGGGGTAACCATGCGCAGATAATTAGTGACAGGTGTGGGAATACCCCTTCTGCTGAAATAGACTCATCACGGAAGCTAACAAGTAAATACTAAGCTGTGAAAGAACCTGAAAATCTGATCAAGAATATGTTAGGTAGATCCATAAGTCCTGCACCAAAACTTTTGAAGAATCATAAACATATGTGGTTTTAATGAATTTGTTTGATCTAATGTAGCGAAGAGAGAGTAAGTCATGCGCTTTCTAATTTTGCTTGAGCATCCAAGTTGCCATATCACGGTAATATGAGCTGAAGAGAAACCTACATATAATTCGTAAGTTTCTGAATATTGGCCTTTAAAAATGCTAGAAGGTACAAAGGAATCCAGTTTTATTTTTTATCGTAATTTTATATCATCATTTCAATCACGTGGCAAAGAAAATTCTTATACGCAGAGTAAGATAGGGCATTCGTTGTATGTTACAAAAGACAAATAATAAGACATTAAGTCTTGCATCATTTCAGAAAACAGAAATCTCCTCATTTTGTACGAATTCGTTTGATTCAAGATATAATGGAGGAATAAAATACCAAATGTTGTCATTACGAAGCGATACAAGCTAATGA